AGAACAAGAGGGAAGGGCTTCAAGCTGCACCAGGGCAGGGTCAGACTGGACAGTAGGAACAATTATTTCCCAGCAAGAGTGGTCAGAGAGTGGAACAGGCTGCCCAGGGAGGTGGTGGAGTCACCATCCCTGGATGTGCTGAAGGGTCATTTGGATGTGGTGTTGGTGGATGTGGTTTAGGGGAGAACTTTGTAGAGCAGGGATGATGGTTGGGCTGGGTGATCCCAAGGGGCTTCTCCAACCTGAGTGGTTCTTTGGGGCCCTTTGGTACCAAATCAGCACAAGAGGCCTCACCAGAGGAGCTGGGCAGGGTGCTCAGGACCTGGGGAGCTGCGAGGAGGTGTTTGAGAACTGCAAGAGGTGGCTGAAATGGTGTAAACTTCTGGTTTCAATGGAAAATGGAGTCTTGCAGCTACCTGGGCTGGAAACCCACAGCCACCAGTTAATGTGGTCAACCTGTATTTCACTTTTATATGCACATAAAAGATGCAGTTTGGGCTGAAACCAGGGACTTCATTTGCATGCCGCTGCAGTTAATGTAATATGATAATTATGGATGGTAGTATGATAATTATGGATGGTAATATGAAAATCACACATGGTAATACACTACACTGTGTTATTTACTTTTTCCATATATTCATTATCTAGTAAATTTTTCCCCCCCCTTCCTTTATATGTTCTGCTGCACATTTAGCCCCTGGATTCACCACACTTGTCTCACTGTTTTCTTCTAGCTGCAGTTCGTTTTAAGTTTCTGAAATGACTTTGCTTTTGTCTTCTTTTGGTTTTATTTTTGTAAATATAAGGGTGGGTTTTGTTTGGTTTGGTTCATTTTGTTTCTTCCAAGAGTTTATTGCTAGAAAGTTACTACTTTCTGTGAATATTTATGCGTTTGTCACCAGCTGAAACAATTGTTGATGAATTTTGAGTGATTAGAAACAAAGTATCCAGCTTGATTTCTTCCCCTCTCTCTCTCTCTGATACTTTTGTGTTTTGTTGGAAACAGCCACACAAGACCCAGGGCTGCAGCTGGAACTGGTTATAAGCTCAGGGAAGGTTGAAACGACATGGAATTTGAACCCCTTTGCTTCCTGTGAGGCTTGGTCCCCTCCAAGCCTGGGGACAGGAATACTCTGTTGAAGTCACAGCCACATCCACCATGTGAAATGAATCCTGTAAGATGATTAAACTTTTAAACAACCTTTAAGTATGAGTTGGGCTCGGTATAAATTCAGTGGGAGTAAAAGTAGCTTTCATTCTGCCTCTGTAAAAGCTGAAGTCTTTTGTGAAATACAGGAGGGGAGAGGAATTAAGTGTATGGTCATAGTTACTTCAAGCCCTACATTAACCCATTTCTGAGGCACATCATTATTTTACTGCTGGAACATGTTGAGTGATGGGTGCAATCAACCTGTTGCTGAAATGTTATCTGTGCAGTCTGGTTTTATTTTCCATTTGAGTCTTGCTCCCATCATGATGCTGAGAAGTGTCTAAGAGCTTTTGTCTTGTAGTTGGAGGAGATTCAGCTTCTGGGTTTTTTTTAATTAATCTTCTGAAAAAAAAAAAGGGAATTTAGAAAAGGAATGGACAGAAGACTCTTTAGACTGTCTGTGGACTGGATCTAGTGCTGGGGGTGGAACTGTGGCTCAGTGTGTGGGCTTGGATCCAGCCTCTGAGGGAAGGACAGAGGGAAAACCACCGTGGGGGCACATCTGGGGCAGAGGGAACTCCTGAATCCAGAGAAAAAGTCTTTGATCCATGAGGAACAAAACTCTCCATGGCTGTCTGCTGCTTTCAGAGAGGCAGCTTCTTCTGTTTGTGCTTTATAGAGAAATGATATTTCATCAAAAATCTTGATGAAATGAAGTTGTCAGCTTTTTTTTTTTTTTTTTTTTTTTTTCCTCATCAGAAGGTCACAAGACTAAATATAGCCTTTGGTCTCCAAAGGGGAAATGGTGTCAATAACCTCGTCCCTGGAAGTCGGGTGGATGACAAGTACAAAACTGAACTGGTGGAAACACTTGTTGGAACTCAGTTTAATTCAGTTTCAATCCGGAGCAGCCTGCAGAAGCTCAGGCACAAGTTAGTGGCCTTGGTTGTTTTTACAAATGAGGTATCCTGGCAGTAAGCAAGTTGGTCCTGGTGAGACCTCACCTGGAGTGTTGTGTCCAGTTCTGGGCTCCCCAGTTCCAGAGGGACAGGGATTTACTGGAGAGAGCCCAAGGGAGGCTACAAGGATGATGAAGGGACTGAAGCCTTATGAGGAAAGGCTGAGAGACCTGGGGCTGTTCAGGCTGGAGAGGAGAAGGCTGAGGGGGGATCTAATGAATGTCTATCAATACATGAGGGCAGCAAGAAGGCAGGACAAGCTCTTGTCACTTGTGCCCTGGGACAGGATGAGGGGCAATGGATTCAAACTGGAGCCCAGGAAGTTCCACCTCAACATGAGGAAGAATTTCTTTGCTGTGAGTGTGACAGAGCCCTGGGACAGGCTGCCCAGAGAGGCTGTGGAGGCTCCTTCTCTGGAGACTTTCCAGCCCTGTCTGGATGCCTTTCTGAGTGACCTGCCCTGGTTTTGGTCCTGCTCTGGCAGAGGGGTTGGACTCCATCATCTTCAGAGGTCCCTTCAGAGGTCCCTGACATTCTGTGATCCTGTCAGCACTGCACCACACTCAGCAACATCTCCATTCACTCTTAAACTTCCTCTTTTAGATCTGCTGTCACATTGTATTCACAAACCACCAACTTTTCCAGTGGCTTCACTTCTGTTTTAAGGGGGAAAAAATGAATAATTCAATCACGTGTTTATCAGGTTGGGTTTTTTTGTTTGTTGTTTGTTTTGTTTTGTTTTGTTTTTTCCACAGAGACAGCAGTGAAGAAAGACTATGTAAGAAACCACCCTCTTACAGCAGCTGTAGTAGGGGAGTTCTGGGCTGTGTGATTATCCACCTCTCTCTCACCCTGCTGGGATTGGTAAGTCTGGGCTGTTTTTGTGCTTTTTGGTGGTATTTTTTCCCCCGTATCCAGTTTTTCAGAAGCAGATGAGGCATGAAGCATTCCAAATTGCTTCTTCAGCAACGTTTAGGCTGCCAAGTGCTCTTGTCTCTTTCAGAAAGTGACACTTGGTTTTCCAAGTCCCTAAAGTGCTTAAGAAAATGTTGTCCTGCTTTTTTTGCATATGCAAATGATTAACAGATAAACAGTTGCACTCATTTTAGCAGGGTATCCTGCCTTTCTCCTCTGCTTTGGTCTCACTTGCAGGGGTATCACAATTCCAGTGGTACCTTCAGGGAGGAAACAGTGCAATGTAAGCTAAAAAAGAACCCCAAAAAGTAAATAAAACAACTGTTATACTACGATGTGTTAATTTAGGAGTAAGGTAGAAAATATTTCCATCTCTCAAGTAACTAGAGTTTTCAAGTAGCTTTCTGGAAAGAAAAAACAGTGACTCAGTGTATGGAGTTTCATTGCAGACCAAGTAAGTCAGAGTGTTGCTGACAGATAGAATCAAATGAGGAGGATCTCTCCAAGTTATATATCAAATATCAGATTAAATTTGCAGAGGTTTGGTTTGTGTGGTGAGCTATCTAGTGACTTGCCTGGCATTGATACTGAGGGAGAGACTATGAAAAGTGCTGAGTCTTTATTGTCCATGAAATTAGTAGAGTTTTTTTGGGTCTTTTCAACATCAGGCCATCATGCCATGTTCTCTGGAGGGTTTACTGTCTGCTCCTCAGTAAATCTGCCCCATTTCTTGCTTCTCTCCCCTGTTTCAAACCATGAGCACACTGGAGGTGTGTGAAGGTACCTGAAGTATTCAAAGACTCAACAGACATTTGAAGCACAGAGGGATGTTTTGCTGTTCATTTTTCCCATTTCTCCATAGGAGGCTGTTGATGATCTTTTCCTTTGGGAGTTTAAGTCAGACTTGGCTCTACATGGAAAGATTCCCTTTGATTTTAATGTTGATTTGAAAAGGAAGGACTAGGAATTATTACATGTTACATATCTTGAGACATACTGGCTAGTTTTTAATTAGCCATGTGCATTTAGTAAAACTGTAGAGCCTATAGATACACAGATGTGCTCCTTGTTGCTTGATGGTTGGGGAAGACAAATTAACTGTCATTTAAAATCATAATTAAGAGTGACTCTAAAAACACAGGTATATGCAAACTGTATTTTGGATGCAGTTTTATTATACTTGAAAAACTACCAGCGTCTTTGGAAGCTCTTTGGCACCTCAGAATCAACCTCTAAGTCTGAATTTGGTCTTTATTTCCTTCCTGTGTCACCTCTTTAGCTGTTAGAAATTGGTGTCTCTCTATGGAAAAAAGTTGATGAGGAACTGATGATATAGACAAGCACAATGATGTTGCTGATCTTTACAGCTTGGGTGCTTTGTCTCAACTGGCCACAATGCAGAAGAGATACCTAGGGACAGAAGTGGTATTGCAGATGAAGAACCCAGAATTGGTTGAATTCTTGACATGGTACAGAGGTTAAACTTGTAGATAAGCAGGTAGTAAAGAAATATTCTAGAGAAAATCAAAAACAGCCTCTATGTCAAGTGCATTGTTAATTTTTAATCATTATTCCTCTTTGTCCAAAGAAGTTGGAGGAGCTGTGCCTGATTTTTCTCTCACTCCCAGGACTCCATGGAACTCTGGTGATTAGACTGTTCCTCACACTTGTCATCATGTTGGCAGAAGGCATCTTAACTAGACTCATCTATAAAGAAAGCTGTCAGCAAGATAAGCCTCGCAAATCTCCTGCATGCAAGAAGGATAAAGAGGGAATCTGGAGAGACAAACTTGTAGACAACCCCAAAATTAAAGGCTTTGCTGGTGGCCTGGAGGAGCAGGATGAGATCTCTTCTAGAAACAGCAAAATGGAACGTGGGGATGGTCCTCAGTGGAGATCTGGGAAAGAGGTACCTGTCAAAGAGCAGGAAATGCTGGTGAAAGGAGACACATCAGCAGCTTTGCCTATCCCCAGGAGAGGGAAAAGCCTTGAGCAGCTGGATCTCTACAGATCCTACTCCTGTTCCTGCATTTACCAAAACTATCCTGACTTGCACATTGGGGGAGACCATGTGGGAGACCACACATGTGACTCGGGGTGTGTTTTGGACCACGTGTGTGATGAACTTCCTGATGGGCCCATGTTACCTTCCATAGATATTCCTCTAGGTGAACCCCCCCTATGTGAGCATCCCCAAAAGCCACATGCAAGGTCCCTGGCTGGAGATGAAGCTGGAGAAAGGAGCATCGTGCTCTGTGAGGAGCCTCTTTCAAACTCTGTGCTCAACAAGTACATGGAAAGAAAAGTGGCAGAGCTCTACCAACAGGTTTTTGAAGAACACTTGGCCAGGTGTGGCTCTGTGACAAACCTCCTCATGTGCAGCTTGCTAAGGAATAACCTCAATCAGATAAGCTTTCAGATATCCCAGGAGATGGAAACCTCCAAAGCCAGAGAGATGCTCTTGCACTCCTTGGCTTTGTTTAGTTTCCACAACACTGCCAGTAGAAGCAGCTCTGAGCTCAGTACTCCCAGCTTACAGATCTCCAACCCATCAGCTGTAAGGAAGAGCTGCAAGATGCAGGTCACCTCCTGACTGACCTGCTGAGGAACACAACTTGGATACAAATACTTCACTCTAAGGGCTAGGTTGGGAATTTAAAATATTTGCACACTACAAACCTTTCCAAATGACTGTTTTAAGGCTCAAACCCTACTTTGTTAGCAGAGGAAGTAAAAGGTCACTGGGACTGGAACAGGTTGCCCTGAGAAGCTGTGGCTGCCCCATCCCTGGCAGTGTTGAAGGGCAGGTTGGATGGGGCTTGGAGCAGCCTGGGCTGGTGGGAGGTGTCCCTGCCCATGCAGGGGGGTTGGAATTGGATGATCTTGAAGGTCCCTTCCAACTCAAAACATGCTGTGATCCTGTTTTCTTTCTTCTAATACAGAATTTGAATAGATTTATCTCTAAAATGCTACTCAACTCTGTTTTCATAATGTGTATGTGTTCTTCCTAAGACTTGGGCTGTATGACTAATTATACTCAGGTGCCATTGGATTTACTCCAGCAAGGAAAATCAGCCAAGGTGTGTGCTGGTAAAACTGTGCTCCAAGGGACTGATCCACCTAGCCTGGAAGTAGAAGAGCCAAATTGTCTTTGCTGGACTTTGCATTGGGCTGTATGGTTGAAGCCAAAGTTCTGGATATTGATATTCACCTTTTGCTCCTGCAAAGCTTGATCCCAGTGGCTGAGGAAATATTTCTTTGGTTGGAAAGGCCCATCAGCAGATGGAGATGTTCAGGACTCTGCAGTATTTTGCATACATTATCATCCATAGGAAATAAGACATGTGCATGAAGACACTGATACTGCACCTTCTTGCTGCATGGGTGCAGGACATTGCAGTCTAGGTGAAATAGATTGTACAAGGCTTTCATTTTCTGTAAAAAAAAAGCTTTCTTTTTAAATAAACCCTCTTTAGAATCCACCCAGCTCTCTGTCAGTGTAGTGGGGTTTTGTGTCCCATTTGGGGTTTTGGTAGATGGACTTTGCCTTTATTTCCTTGGAAATGAAGCAGCTGCAACAAGCTCAGGAGGCTGCAACCATCCTGCAAAGGTAGTGCAAGAATTCTTCGGCTTCATCTGGAAACTGAAATGCAGATTTAGATACAGAAATGTCATTGTTTAGCTTTCAAGCCCTTTTTTTTTTTTTTTTTTTTCCTTTTCTATTACTCCTCTGTAAGTATTTCAACTGGAAATGGATCAGTGTCACCACTGATGCATGAGAAGTGAATCAGCCTGTTGCCTGCTCTGCAGGGGTTGCCTCCTAGCAAGGACAGCTCTTTCCTTGCACTGTGAGTGCTCCAGTTCTGGCTTTGGATGATGAAATCCCAAATCCTACAACAGTCTGGGTGTATTCAATTTGGAGCTTTGCAGTGCACCCTTAATGTGCTAATTAAAATAATTGTATCTGGTTCCTGGTGTCACCCCATGCAGTGGGTGGGAGGAGTTATAAATCAGAGCTTCTCACTGAAACTTGCTGTGAAACAAAGTGAACCAAAAGCTTCTTTGTCTTCGAGGCACATGCCTTTAACTCTGATTTATAATGTGTATTTTTAAAATCTTTATCAGTGCTCTAAGAGAATATGAAGGATCTTGTGATCTCTGGGCAATAAGACATCAAATAGTTGTGGTTGTAAATCAAGGCCCCTGACATCTGGTGAGTCCTTGGAAGAGATCCAAGTTGGTTGGGTTTTGTTGGTGTTTTCTTCTTTTACTTTTTAAAATCCAGCACCTTTTAGTTGTTTGGCTTTAAAAAAAAAATAATCATCTCTGAGCTGGAATTTATAATGAAAAAATAATCATCTCTGAGCTGGAATATAAGTAGTCTTGCAAGAAAGCCTCAGAACATGGAGAAGAGATTAATTCACATTGAAGCTCTTAATTCAAGTCATCTAGTTTATTAATTAGTTGCATTTATTCTAGTAGAAACTGTTTGGTTGGGCTTAGAGTGAAAACTGTGCCAGTTTTGGCCTGTGCAAAGCAAGAAAAAATGCACTAGAGCCTAAATAAGCTGTGCTTGTGGAAAGACCAAAACTCCCTGGCATGGGGCTTCTCGTGGAGAAGAAGGATGTGTCTGTGTGTGAGTCAGTGTGTGGTGTCAATCAGGCTGCTAAATATAGCTGCTTGTGGAAAGGGAACTAGAAAACCTGTGTGTACATGAAGATTTGTGACCTTTTCTGATGGCTTGTGATGTCTCATAGGATTGGTGGAGCTTCAGGGCCTGGCTCAGTGAATGTCCAACCTGAGCACCTGGGTTTCAGGTGGGGTGTATGTGGAAATTGAGGATCACACCTCAAAGCTCTAAAATAACACAGTTGGCTGATGTGGCTGCTCAGTCTGATGGATTGGCTGAAGGAGCAGAGGGAACACCCCTGGTTTTGAGGTGTTTCCCAGCTTTTTATACTCTTTGATCTTAGAGCTGGAGGAAGAGAATTGAATCATAGACTGGCTTGGGTTGGAAGGAACCTTCAAAATCATCTAGTTCCAACCCCCTGCATGGGCAGGGACACCTCCCACAGGATGGACACTCTGCTTCCCTGGATTATTCCTTGAAAGCTGGACATTCCCTCAGCTGCCTTTGAGAAATCCTGTTCCTGCTCTTTGTTGCTCATCCTGAATGCCCAACTTTCTGTGCTATTTTTGCAGGCAGTTTGCAGCCCGAGGCAGACTTTTCCATGCTGGTGTTTTGCTGGGATGAGAATTTTCACATGGATGAAAGCCAAGAGGGATTGCTGTAGTTTGGTAACTGGGAGGGACTGAGAAGAATCTGCTTCTGAGGGAATAGTGATTTGGGTGGCCAAAGGAAGGACCCCTCTCCCCTGATTTAAGTGACAGGCAAAGACAATTCCTGCCAATTATGCAGCAAATAATTAAATGAAATCAGATCTTTGAGGTCCCTTCCAACTTTTACCATTCTATGTCCAACTTCCCTACCTGATCAAAAATTCCCATTGACCTTAGAGGTGCCAGGAGTGTCAATCCCACTGAAACTGGTCTGGTTTCTAAGAGGATGGTGGGAAAGGCTGTTTTGCTTTTACTAATTCCACATGTGTCTCATAAATCCCCTTCTCAGCATTCCAAGTTGAAAGAGGGAGTCCAGAGTTGATCCAGAAAATCTGAAACTGAAGGAGAAATCCTGAGAAAACAGAGAAATCTCCCCAGTTAACTGAGACCTGCAGTGAGGGCTGTGATTCCCCAGCCTGTTTCTTATCTGCTGTGGGTGATGACCTCCTACAGAAGGTGACTCAATCTCCCTGGGTGTGTAAAGGAGATTTTTTACATGCCAGATCAATGTGAACAGTTTTTCCTGCTATCTCTCAGGTAGTCAAATGATAATATTTACTGGTGGTTTCCTTTAGTTTATCTAGGTCAGGACTTCCAGAGGTTGACAAACATTTTGCACATAAATCTCAAAGTCCACCTCTCTTTGGAAAGAAGATTCTTTCCCCCAAGGAGGAGGCCCAGGTGAGCAGAATAACAGCTGATGTTCTTCTATTCTGCAGGTTCAACTCCAGAAAGATGGTCATGGAGCTTTTTCCCCATGAGTTCATACAGGAAATGGTGATCATGATATTTTTTCTGGTTTGCTTCTTGAGTTTTTTGCATACAGGTTTAAAAAATGTAGCTATTTGATTTTTCATTAAGCTCAGTTTCTTTCCCAGAAGAACCTCAAGCACTTCACTCCTGCCTGCATCTCCTTTGAGCTCATTTATTTGTGATAACCCCATCCATCCATTTGGAGTATAAATCATCCATGTGGGGCAGGGTAAATGAGTGCCCAGCTGCTAACAAACTGCCACCAACCCATCCTGTGGGCTTCTAAGTGGAAATCAAAGTGTTTAGTGTTGATTTCTGAATCCCAGGAGGCCAAAGCCCTTCCTTCTTCCATCCTGACCCTGTGGGGATTGCAGATATTTCCCCTCCACTTGGGTGCTATGCTTTGGAGAAGGCAAAAAAGGCTGGATTTGATGCAGTTAGATCAAGTTAAGGGGGAAAATTATGCATTATTCAGCAGCAGGACTGTCCAGAGCTGAGTTAATGTCACATGCACAAAATGTGCTGGGTCTTTTTTTGTGGACTGTCTCTGTCAGGACTATATGTTGCTTGGGATGTTTGTTTGGGGAGGAAAAAAAAAATCCAGCACTGTTGGAACAATCTTGTTCAATGGCCATTTCTTGGCAACCATCTGGCATCTTGCTACTTTTCTTGGGACTTTATTTACAGATGTTAAAGTGCTGAAAAAGAGGTGAGCAAAGAGCTGAGCAACCTCACTTGTGACTGCAGGAGCCTAGAAGAGCTGTGTCTGAAACCAGCTCCAGAAGCAGAAAGGCTGGCAGGGCATTTCTATGTCTCATTAAGCTGCTTCTCTTTGAAGGTGAGTGGAAACAGCATCTTTCCTAGATACAGCTCTAGTTGTGTGCAACTGAAAGGTGCAGCTCTGGACTCTGTGGAGCTCTGCTCCATCCATCAGCAGAGCTGATCAGGTCACCAGTGCTGACTTAGTGGTTATTTTGGTGGTGTCACTGCAGCTGAATTAACCCCAGAGAGAGCTGGTAGCTTTAACTTCCTTCTGCTTCACATGGGACTGGAAACACCAGCTCTGCTGTGAAGGTGGAGTTCACAGAATCCCAGAGTGGTGGGGTTGGAATGGACCTTTGGAGATCATCTAGTCCAACCCCCTGCTAGGGCAGGATGCCCTAGAGCAGATCCCACAGGAACACATCCAGGTTTGGAATGTCTGCAGGGATGGAGACTCCACCACCTCCCTGGGCAGCCTGTCCCAGGGCTCTGGGACCCTCAGAGTCAAGAAGGATTTTCTCACATTCAGGTCCAACCTCCTGAGCTCCAGTTTGTGCCCATTGCCCCTTGTCCTGTCCCTGGACACCCCTGAGCAGAGTCTGGCCTATCCTCCTGCCACCCCCTGGAGATACTGAGCAGCACTGATCAGACCCCCCCTCAGCCTCCTCCTCTCCAGCTGAGCAGCCCCAGTTCTGCTCTCTGGAGCTGAAGCTCTTCCAGTAAGACATGTGCTCTGGC